TCGAACGGCACATGTGTCGACCGCTTGAGCGTTGCAAAGACGAGGGCCTTGAGCCAAGTGGTGCCAGACTTAGGGAAGCTTGCAAGGAATACGTCAGTGGGCCTTGGCTCGAAGCACGAATGGACGAGTGGAAAGCCTGTCTTCAATGTTACCTCGGCCAGCCAAAAGCTAGTGTACTGGCGAACTGAGAGCGTTGGCCACCTGGTCTCGAGGGGAAATGAATGGATGATCCTGGCTATGTTAGTGTGAGGAGTCGTCAACAGCACTGCTCCTTCTTGTGCATTGTTCTCTGAGTGCCTGGAGGCTATCATCCTATTGGTGAATCTCAAAAGCGAGGTCACTGGTGTTGTATGTCCAGTCCAGTTGCTTGCTGCAGCCTGCATGTGGACAAGGGTGCCCAAAAAGGATTGCATGAGGAAAACCTTATCTCAATTTTAGGTAACAGAGAAACCAAGTTACACTAAAAGATGATGGTACACAAGTTATCATTTGATTAGGAATCACTCAATGAACATCACCAAAGAAATTGATTGCATTGCAAAACAGTGGAGTAATACTACATCTCCAAGTCACATTAAGAGGAACCCGGGAAAAAGGATAACTACAAAGTGCTCAGGCTTTAAAGGTGTTCAGAAGTTGTGCACAATACTAGTTTTGCTCAAGATTGGATTATTGCTCCAAGTTAAGGCAAGCCGACTCAAGCCAAGGTCAAGCATTAGGTTATTCTGAGCTAGATTTATTAACCTGTCCGAGTAGTTTGTCATAAGGCACAAATATCATTCACGCGAGCTACCAATCTGAACCTGTTTCAAGTAAGATGTATATAGCTCGGCAGCAATTTTTGTTACTTGGCAGTGGGCACAACCAAAATCCTAATTGTTAACCTCCTGTAAATATTGCTTTAACTATCTAGTTAATGAAGCAGCAGAGCACCTGGCCATTCGGCAAAAAAATCCTAATTGTCGTGACTCAACGTCAAATGAAGAACAGAATAAAGTGAATTGCCTCTTCACAGGCAACTTTCCACCTGAACCAGAATATAGGGACTAGTACAATTCTTGCTTGCAAACAGTTAAATAGCTAATGAGATACTGTACTGTGCCTACTATTCTATTCACTGACTTGACTCTAATTCAGGATAACCCGTGCGACCAGTAACCTGTATGTTTGTTCCTTTGCCACCGCTTAATTTGATTCTATACTTTTTCCCATACTTGAAACCTTCTATTGTTATATGTACCTTCTACTCAACGTCTCAACTGAAACAGATCAGCAGTACCCTATAGTTGTGACTATTTACTTATTTCACTACTAGTCCGTACGTTTGGCAGACTCCATACAGTTTTATTTTGGTCAATGTATACACCGTTTTCACCCCGGTAGCAAAGTTCACTTGAGATGCATACTTAGCATCTTTCTAAAAGAGTGTGAATAAGTGATACATTGATCCATCTTTGTCAACAATCTACCTTTGAAGTTTTTCAAAGAGAGAGAAAACATAAAATGTGGACATTAACAAATCCAAAGCTATCTAATTCATATGCAGGAAATATACACTAGCCACTAGCAAGTCCCACATGAAGCCCAGCTATGAACTAACCGCGACTACGAGAAGTAGGCTGGACCAATCGTTGCCAGAAAGTTCATGTTCATGCCTCATACTTATAACATCAGGTGTCCCCAACCCCAAGTAGTAGCGAGAGTTTTCAGAATCTACTACCCTTCAATCCGCACAGAGAGTCACCAATATGCGGAGCAGTGGGAGAGGGGAGAGATTGACGGGAACGGGAGAGGGATTTTGCGCACCAGGAAAGACGATGTCTGCGACGTGGCGGCAGGCCGTGTTGGTGCCCGGCAAACTGGCCGCGTTCGGTGTTTCCCTCCCTGGATGCAGCAGCTCCTAGAGTTGTTGACAGAGAAGAAGGCGTCCGCGGGCGCGGAGTCGTCCTCGCGGTCGGCGTGGGAGAGGAGAAGCCGGGGGCAGGTACGACCGTGGATCTGGTGAATGTCGCCAGACACATATCGCCGTCAGCTAGATGGCATCCGCTGTGTGTACCCCACACCTACAGGCCACAGTTCAGCTCTAGTGCTCCCGCCCGTCGCATGGTGTGGCCGGGCCAGACCACTGGGTCCATATTTTCATCTTGGCTGCGGTTTGCCAAAGAAAGGAAAGGGGAAAAAAGCCTCCTAAACCCTTAACTATTGCAGACTAACGCTCGGACGTTCCAGCGGACAGCGCTTCCAAAGGCAGCTCTCGCGTGATATCCCACACCGCATCTTACGGGAGTCCGTATCCCATCTAGCATCAGTGCCCCATGTCCGCATGCCGCAACCACGCCCATCACGCGCTCCAGCTGCCCATCCCGCGCCCTGCGCCCATCTCTAGGCCCCACGTGGGTCCCAGTCACCTGCCCCGCTTGCGGATGCGTGCCGCGGAAGCGTCTGCCAGACTTAGGCACCCGCACGATGACCCACGGTGGCACCCCCAGCAGCAGCAGGGCGGGTTGTGACGCATGAAACATGTGCTCTCCCAGATCTATTTTAAAACATCCAGATGAAACCATGCAACATACGTCTTAAACAGATGAAACACTTGAAACATACGCTTGAAACATGCGTGTATAGTCATAGCAACACATGCAACATCGAGATCTACTTTTGCAACATCCAGAAGAAACACTTACAACATGAGTCTGAAACATGTGAAACACTTGAAACATCCGCTTGAAACATGCGTATAGAGCCATAGTAGCATATGCAACATCTAGATAAAACACTTGAAATATACATCTGAAACACCTAAAACACTTAAAACATAAGCTTCCAACATATGTAACATCCAAGATCTACTGACAACATTCAGATGAAACAATTGAAACATAAGTTTGAAACGCCTGAAACACTTAAACACAATGTCGCCGGTGGACACAACCTACCTGGTGGGAAACACCGGTAGCAAGCAAGCTCGTGTCCAGTGGACGTCGAGAGCAATGGCGTCAAGAACACCCAGTGCAGTGTACACCCCCCTCCTGGCCGGCGAAGAGTGGATGGGGCAGGCCTCCCCATCGTGGTCTGCTGACAGGCGAAGTGGATGGGGGCACTGGGAATCAGGCGCTGCAGCAAGACCGAATGTGGAGGACAAGTGCGGAGAGGAGGACAAGTGGGGGCAGCGGCAGAAGCGCGCCACGGAGGCGATTGCGTGCACTGCTGACGATTTTTTAAAAGAAATTGTGATGCCTAAAGGGGAGCGGATAAGAGAGCCTCATGGGCATCGTGACCCCACCAATGAGGCCGTCCGGATGGACGGACGTCCTGAGAGCACTACCGTATTGCAATAGTTCGATTTAACTATTGAAACGGATTTTTTTCTTTAAAAATAGTTTTAGGACAGTTTAGTCTAACATGCATCAGATGCCCTATGTGATGCCACATCAACTATGAGGGAACTATATTGATAGTTCAGGATCAAAGACTTTATAAAAAAAAAGTTACAGAAATAAGTTCCAAAATCTGGTTTAATCTTAGGAATTTATACAAATTTTGTTTTAGCTCAGAAAAATATGATGGACTTTCAGATTTTTTTAAAAAAAATCATGTAGTTGATGTGCATAGGTTAGACCCAAACAAACGAGACCACATAAGACCCAAACAATTTTAATCTATGTGCTATAATATTTTATCATGGTTTTAGAAGAAATCTGAAACTCATTTCATATTTTTCTAAGCTAAAATAAATTTCCTAGGGATTTTCTAATATTAAACTAGATTTTGAGGTTTTAAGTTCCATATATTTTTAAAAAAAATATTTAGGAAGATTTTTAATTATTATTTTTTGTAACCTTTTTTTGGTGAACTCTATTTGACTATCCTAAACTATTAACAAGGTCCAGTTTATCTCCCTTGTGATTGATGTGACACTACGTTTTAAAAACCATCAAAAAAGGAAAAACAACCGGTTTTAATAGTTGAAAGGCGTCAAAATATCCAGTTTTATAGTTTGAGAAGGTAAGGTGTATTGAACTCCAACAACAGTTGAGACTTGAGAGAGGTCAGAGAGAGTCTTCTGAAGAAATATGGAGAGACCGAACAAAGACTTTGCAGTGCAGCATTTGAGCGAAATGGTCACGGCACCGTACAACTTTGCATGAGAAGCGAGCAAAGAGGACCTTAAGTAGCCCCACCCAGCACGACAATGAGTCAATGAATGCCTGAATCAGCCCATAAGCACAGGAAATCGGTAGGCGTTTTTTTTCCTCCAGGTTTATAAAGAAGATAAGTATAAAATCTGATGACACATGACTTTATGGTGCACTATTTACATAGTAACGTGTACTTTTTTTATTACATAGTACAGGTGTCAGCCAGCCTGGTCTAACGACTAGGGCTGGGCCCTGATCTCGCGTCCTGATCGGGGGCGCACAAACCAATCCATGTTGGTGGACCCCCATTCGCAGCGTTATAAAATGAAGGTGGGGGTCGGGGCTCATGACATGAGGTTCACCACAGCCGTCAATTCCTCACCTACATCCTAACTCTAGTCCGATCGAGAGGGTGGCGCTGATAGCGACGGGAAGTCCACCGCCCTCGTCGCCGCCAGGACGCCACCGCTCTGCTGCGATCTCTTCACCGCCACTTGTCTTCCACCGTCGCCATAGACAGCTCCTCCTCCTCCAAGCCCACCGATGGTCAGCTACTTCTACTACCTCCCTCTCTCTCTCTCTCAGTTTGTCCATCCGATGTTATTCTTGTTGTTTAACTAGTAATCACCCACTAGTACTCATATAGTATGCATCTATACTCTCGATGTGAAAAGATGTTACAACTACAAATGAGTTGTACATGAATTAATTTCCGGTATGACTATTGATGAAGTCCACATTTTCCCTCTATCATTGAGGAGCAGAGTATATTTCTACAACCAGCAATACGGATAAAACTACTAGTTGATCTTGAGATTATGCAGTTTGCAACCAGTGTTGTGTATGTGCCAAGAGTGTGGTTCACGTTGTGCTCGAGAAGGCGAATCCAGTCCCTTGCAATGCATCATCAACAACCTTGTCCAGCCTCTGCGCCATCTCCGGTGTCATGTGATTGCTCCAGTCCCCAGCAACTCCCTTCCTGAAGAAGCTTTCATTCTTGGTCCCCAACCTAGTGCTTCCATTTCTGTTCACCTCCATGTCCCTCAGCTTGCCCAGGCTACACAGCTCCACGATGGCGCTCACCACCTCGCCCTCCTCCTCCACGCCGGAAAATTCACAACCAATGAACTTCGCTAGCTTCCTCACATGCATCTCAGGCTCAAGCAGCATCTCCTCGTACCTAAGGAACAGCACCTTGTCAGGCCTGCTCACGCTCTCTTCCCAGTACTGGAGGACGTGCTGCCACTGCGGGCCACCCGGACAGCGGCCATCGCAGAACAGCTCCAACGCCTCCTGGATGGTGAACGACCGGACGTTAACTCCCCTCGCCAGCGCCGCCTTCCTAGTGAACAGCCAGTAGGAGACCAACGCATCCTTGGGTTCCCGGCAGACGTACATGATCCGGCACCCCGAGCGCTCCCCGTCCCCGGTGATGCTGCCAGGCAACAGGGAGTAGGGGAGGTGCGTGGCCAGCACGCGTGGGGACGGGAGCGCCTCAAACTCGTCCTTGTTCTTGTCGTTGAGTTCGATCCCGAGGAACCGAACGCACTCGTGGGGGCTGCGATGGCGCAGCGGGTGGTTGCCGTCGGACGGCGGGTGTGTGGACCGCTTCAGCGTCGCGAAGGCGAGCGCCTTGAGCCAGGTGGTGCCGGACTTGGGGAAGCTTGCGAGGATCACGTCGGAGGGCCTTGGCACGAAGCAGGAATGGACGGCTGGCAAGCCCTCCTTCACTGTGACCTCCGGCAACCAGAAGCCGCCGGCGTACCGGCGGAGCGCGAACGGTGGCCACCTGGTCTCGAGGGGCGGCGAAGGGATGATCTTTACTGCGTCGGCGTGAGGCGTCGTCACCGGTTCCGGGCCTTCTTGTGCATCATCCTCTGGTTGCCTGGAAGCCATCGTGCGTGCTACCGATGGATCTCACGAAACGTCACTTGCAGCATGTGTCCAATTTTCTTGTTGTGGCCTGCATGTAGATGTACCTCAAAATTGAAGGGATGTCAAAACTTAGACCGGGAAATGAAATATAACTTGAAAGCATCAAAACTGGGCCAAATTTGCAAAGTCTAGGGGAAACCAGCCCAGATTGATTTAGGGCTATTCACCGGCTGCCAACAGCTAAAGACGGCATAGGCCGGTTTCGTCGTGGGTGTTTCGGGTGAAGAACGAAGATCAAAACTGCATAGTAGGCGACTTGCTAGTCACGCTGGCTATTTAGACGTCCCTCTGTTGCGTGTCTAGAACATGTTGTGCGGCTGCGGCCTCGAATGATATATGACCGAAATTCACGTCAACACGTAGTACATGCAGTCTGCATCCGTGGAGCTAATTATCACGACCATGCATGGGGATTCCGTGCGATTCCCAAGCGTCTCCAACGAAGAATGTGCTCCATGATCGGCAGTGGGTTCGTGATCGTGACATCAAAGGAGTGCAAGTGTTGGTCGACTACATCCGTGGCTGCGAAATACCCAATCGTTGCCCAGGCATAAAGGTGGGAGATCGAGAGGAGACTAGGTTTGCAGACATCTCACCTTGCATGTTATGGGAAAAAAGACAAGAGGGAGAGGGGGAAGGATTTTGCGCACCCGGGAAGAACACGGCGACGACGTGGAGGCAGGCAGGTCCTGTCAGCGGTCGGCGAACTTCCTGTTCCTGGCGTTATATATATATATATATAGTCCTCGCGGTCCGCGTGGGGAAATATTGTATACGGGGTCGGGCATACGGCATACGGCACACGCCACTTTCAGTTCTCGCGGTCCGCGTGGGGAAATATTGTATACGGTCCTCGCGGTCCGCGTGGAGAAATATTGTATACGGGCATACGGCATACGCCACACGCCACTTTCAGTTCCCACGTCGCCGGTCGCCGGTCGCCGTCGCCGCCACGCCCAGGGCCCGGCCATGCTCTCTTTTTCTATTCTGCCTGCGAGGCTGCGACCGTCTTCTTCTGGCCAGTGGATTAATTCGTCAGGCCCAGTTGGCCTTGTCCTTTCGGCATCCACGCACGCCATTCCGCTATTTTCCTTGTTCCTTCACTGGCCGAACATGCATGTACTTTCTTCATTCGAGAATGGTAATCCTAAAAAGTACTTCGAATACAAAACTATGAATATAAATTTTGTATCCTAAGCTTGTATATAATTTGACTAATTACGGATTAAAATTTGTAAAATTTAATTTTTCCTTATACAAAACACGCTTATCATTTTGGATGGAGGGAGTAAATTGTAGCGGGTACAGAACTTGTTGCGTGATCACATTTGTATGGGCCGTCATGGACCGAAATCACATTTGTATGGGCCAGAAACGGCTAACTGGACCGAACAGCAGCGAAACCTGGTAGTCGTCGGAGCAGGCTTCCGGCCCGGCGGCAAAAAAGCCCAGACAAAGATCGCTTTTGTTTGTGGACGGGACAAACGGCGCTGCTCTGTCGTTCGTACGGCGGCGGCGCCGGCAGCAGCAGTTTCCGGCATGCGAAAGCAGGCGGCGGCGAAATCCGCGTGCGTTCGTTTAAGCTTATTAACTCGATTTATTAGTAATGATATAATTTTTAAAAAAAAAATAAAATAGCATTAGTTAGCTTATCAGCCGTAGAAATCATCAGCCAAACACCATTGATATTTGTGAGAATTCCCTAGGGGGCATCAAAACTTATAACAATTCCTTAGTTGCCATTAAAAATTATAGCATTCCTTAACTGCCATCGATTTGTAGTTTTTGATTCCTTCGTTGCCATTACCGTTACGTATGTGAGTTTTGTTCCCTTAACTGCCATCTATTTAGATAATTTGCCTCCTTAATTGCCACTGAGCGGACGGAACCGCGTTCCACGCTCGACGTCGTCCGCTGCCGCCGCGCTCTTGTCCGCGTGGTGACGACGGCGGGGAGATAAATGGAGATCGGGTGGCCAACGGACGTGTAGCATGTGGCGCAAGTGACGTTGGCGGCTCCGCGACGGCAGGAGGCCAGCGCGGCAGCGCACATCGCGCGCGGGGCTGCTCTGCTGCGGGAGGAAAGCAGGCTGGCAGGCGCGGCATACTGCTGCTCTACTGCAGCCTACAGAGCACATACCAGTGCACGGCATCGACGAGCACTGCCTTGCGGCTTGCAGGCCTCAGGTATGTAGACCGTGTGGACGTACGTACAACCGTTGCATTGTTGCATCTGATGTGCTGAATGCTGATGTACATACGCGTACTTGCAGGCGTGGTTCCAGGAGCTCCCCGGAAGGCTGCTTGACTCGCTGCCGGTGGAGGAGGTGACGCGGTGCCAGACGGTGAGAGGACTGCGTGCGGCTCTGCGACACGCCGACACCAGGCTGACGGCGCCCAAGATGGCGCTGTTGTAATAAAGAGACGGATCCCTCCCTTTCCCTGGCACTTGTCACAGGCGCACCTAAGCGCTCGCACGGGAGATGGGACGGCAGAGAGGATGGACAAGAGCGTGGTAGCAGCGGACCTAAGCGCTCAATGGCAATTAAGGAAGCAAACTATCTAGATAGATGGCAGTTAAAGGAATAAAACCCACAAATGTAACGGCAATAGCAATGAAGGGATCAAAAATTACAAACTGATGGCAGCGAAGGAACTCTATGATTTTTAATGGCAACCAAGGAATTGTTATAATTTTTGGTGGCAATGAGCAAATTCTCTCTTGATATTTCTACGACCTGGTACAGTCTGCCCCGTCCTGCCATTTTTTTTTCTTGCCGACGAACGAATGGATTCCCCGAGCCCACTCACTCCATCTTTGACGAGACGAGTGCGTGCGGTGCGGAGGACGGATGAGCGAGCCTCGCCGCCCCCCCCCCATCATCATCATCCCGGAGAAAAGAGCAGATGCTCAAGCATGTCACGCGTGATGCCATGCTGGGGTAAGCAACCGACCCCACCTAACACGGCACACCTGATGCCATAGTATACGGTTCCGCGGAAGTTCCGACAAAGGCGACCTTTGGCCGGGTTCCTCTCCTCCGACGCGTTGAAATTCCGCGCCAAGTTCGTCCGAGTCCACGCTGTCTGTCGCCCGTTTCTTTGTGCTTTTCCAAGCGGAAGGTCCGAGCTGCTGAATCGATCGGCTCCCAGATGGCGGATGCAGAGGTTTTTCAGCGCGTCCAGCGCATGGGATAACCAAAGTTTTCTTCTTCCATGCCAATGTGGCACCAAGGTCTGAAGAGGATTCACAATCCACCCAGCGAAGCTCCGACTTTACGCCTAGAGTCGGTCAGCGGCGAGTAGGCGACATGCCTCTCCACTCAGCCACGCACCGGTCACCAAATGCTCATCTTTACGTAGAGGTCGATTCACGTTATTGTAGGAGCACTAGCTACCTTTGCCAAATGTAAGTGTAGCGACAACGACGCCACGCTTTCTTGCGAGGAGTACAACATGGTGGATGAGCTAAAAAAAGGGCATCAAGAAAATCTAATCCATCCATCAAATGGAGCACCATACAAGATGAGAAAAAGAAAATGGAGCTCCTTTTCTTAAACCATATCTGGATTCATTCCAGTTAATAGTTAGTACTCCGTTACAATTCTTAAGTTATTCTGTCTTTTCTGGTTATGTACATAAGTTTTACTTTGTAATATCTAGATATACATTTATATCTTAGTATATAGTAAAAGCTATATATCTTATGAAGGTCGAGCAACTTATATTTTGAAACGGAGGTAGTAGCTAATAGCTAAAAAGTTACTGCACTATTAGCTAACTAAATATTAGTAGATGGTTATTTAGATATACCAGTTAATAAGTAGTTGGATAGATGGTTGAAGGTGTTGTTAACTATTGGCATCAATTAGCAACATTTAATCAACCAACGAACTAACTGTTAGTAGCTCTACTTGTTAATACTTAGCAGGTCTAAATAAATAGATGGATCCAAACACGCATTCCATCCATCCAAATTGGAGAGAAAGAGGGGTACACTATGAACGAAACTAGTAAACATCATCATCGACTCCATCGGACCTGATTAAAATCTAGCTAGATACGGAGTAACAGAACACACACAAAATGACCAAAACAAGCCAACGTGCGTGACGGCCACCTGACGCCAACGCCACGACGGACGCCCCGTCTCCTTCGCACAAATACGGGAAGGCCACGGCCCACGGCGCGCCGCCCGCCAAGGCGCCGGCGCCGCCGATGCCGACGCCGACTCGACGCGTTCGCCCATCAGTCGAAGCGGCGACCGCGCCAAGCGGAGACGGAGAAGATGGCGCGGTCCTGCCAGCACAGGAAGAAGGCGCCCTTCTCCTCGCGCACCTTGAAGCCGTCGCAGCCGAGCCCCTGCGCCGCGCGCCGCGCCTGCAGCAGCGCGTAGTAGCTGAGCGGGACGCGTGCGAAGCCGGCGCCCTCCATCCGCGCCGTCCAGCGGTCCAGCCGCTCGTGCCGCTCCCGCCGGTCCGCGCCGTCGCACGCGACGATGTTCTTCACCTCCTCCCCGAGGAGCCAGCGCTCGACGCGCGCGCGCTCCACCGACCCGCGGGGCGCCGCCGACTCCAGGCAGTCGAACAGCGCCGCGTAGTAGTTGAGCGCCTCCACGAACCGCTCCGTCAGCGGCGCCGCGTTGTGCGACGCCTCCTGCTCCGTCACCACCACCACCTTGGGCGACAGGCCCCACAGCGCGCCCAGGAACGCGTCGGCGCGCGACGTCGTCGGGGACACCCCGGACTCCGGGCTCCGCTGCCGCTTGTTCGTGTCCCCGCCTTTGCCGTTGCTGCTCTGGTGGTGGTGGTAGCCGTCCTTGCCGGAGGTATCGTCGTCGGAGGCCAGGAGGCAGTGCAGCTGCAGGCTAGAGGTGACGGCGAGCGCCTCGCCGGTCTTCACGCGGAGCGACTCCACGTCCAGCGCCTCGAGCCGGGACACGACGGGGTTGAACTGGAACGGCACGTCCAGCCGCTCCGCCTCCTTGGTGAGCGCCATGGCCGTCTGCGTGAGCACGTCCCTGTGCTCGTGCACGGCGGTGAGGCGGAGGTGCGGCGGACCCTCGGGCCGCGCGGCAAGGAGGTGCAGCAGCTCGAGCCACTGCGTGGCGTCGGCGCCGCCGAGGTCCACGACGTGCACGATCTTCTCCGACTCCATGGCCTCCAGGACGGACTGGTTGGCGGCGGCGCCCGCGAGGCGGAGGAACGGGCAGAGGTCGAGGAAGTGGCGCCTCGCAGCGGCGAGCTCGGCGGGCGTGGGGCCCGCACGGGGCAGGAGCAGCGCGCGGCACAGCCCGGGCCACGCGCGCAGAGCGCGCCGCGCCAGCGCCTCCGCGAAGGCGGCGGCCACGCGCTGCATGGCGTCGCCGTCGGGGGACGCCAGCGACGCGATGTGCTCGAGCGCCGCGTTGGCGGCGTCCAGTCGCCCCGCGCCCGCGGCGGCCGCGCAGTTGAGGAGGAGGTGGATGAGGCAGAGCCCGCGCTCGTCGGAGCGGAGCTCGCGCGCCAGCCACGGCGGCGTCGGGGACGCCGCCGCAGCGCCGCCGGGGGATGTGTGGAGCGGCATGGTGGAGAAGTTGTGCAGCGGGGACGATGTGACCGACGACGAGGAGCCTTCGTCCTGGACCATCAGGCAGCCTTCCTTCGCCTTCGCCTTCTTGGCACGGCGACGCGACGTTGACGCGACCACCGCTGCTTAATTTGCTCTTCCCGTGAAGCAAGCAAAGCTCTAAAGCTTGTGTGCTTGGTGGTGTGGATTTATACGACCGCCGAAATGTTATGGCCGAGGAACCTCTGGGATGATGGCACCAAGGTCTGTTCTCCCTCTCTTGGTCGTCGCTGACAGACACGGCCTGCGGGCAGCCAAGAAGGTAAAGTCAGTGGGAGTAGGCGGAGGCGACCTACCAAAGCCTGCGGCAGCCCTGTATCTGCATGGAGAGAAAAAGAGGAGGAGGAGGTGGGGCGGTGCGTGCTGAGCCTGAGGAAGGAGACAGAGCAAGAAATCAAGAGAAGCCATAGTAATCATAAATAATGGACCAGACCAGCTTTGGCCGCGCAATGGATGGAAGCGCAGAACGTCCACACAGCAGCGTAGCGTAGCGGTAGCGAACACGGACACGGACACGAAGAAGAGGGAGAGGCAGGCAGAGGAGGAGGAAAGCGCCGAGGCGAAACGGCCAAGGAGGTGGCAACAAGCAGGAGCAGCTCGAGGAAGAAGAATACAAGCCCGTGGTATGGCCGGATGGGGAAGAAGACGAAGGGAAATCACTGGGTTGGTACTGGGTGGGAGCAGAGGCGCCATTTATTTCTGCACTCTTTCATCACGCACGGGCAGAGGCAGGCAGGGCGGGGCGGCAGTGAGTCGGGCCGGACCAGACGGAGCTTTATTGTATTTTTACAGTACAGCCAATGGTGGCGTGCTTGCTCATGGCAGGGACGGACAGGGAGAGGAATAGAGGGAGGAGCACAGGCACAGCGTCGCCGTGGCCATGGCTGACTCAGGACGAAGCTGCATGTAGAAGCGAACAAAAGAGAAGGGAGAAATGCTTGCTCACCTCGGGAGGAGCCTTTGCAACCGGAAGAGCAGCGGCCGCCGCAGTAGCGAAGATACGCTCACCGGCAGCGCCACCGGCAGCAGGGGAGGCGACAGAGGGAGGGGAGTGGTAGGACGGCGGCAGGTGCGCTTATAAAGAGAGGCGCGAGGAGGGAGACGGGCAGGGCCGGACCAGATGGGGTAGGCCGGAACCAGAAGGAAGGGGACGGCGTGAACGCCCCCAGCGAGGCAGCGAGGGAGAGGGAGGCTCATGCAGTCAGGCTGCTGGTGAGACTTTTTGGGGGTGCAGCGCTGGGTGGCGACAAAAAGCGGGGGCTTTTGTCCGCACCCGCACCCGCACCCGCGCGCGCGAGGCCACGCCACGCCACGCCGCACCGGCCTCTCTGCCTCGCCGCGACCTGCTCCATAGAGGTCTGGGCTAGCGGCCAAGGAATTTGTGAGGGCGAGTGCTTGCCGGCCCCTTCTATTCTCCGTGATCTGCGTGGACTACTCGACCCAGCTGCGCAGCCGGGTGCGCCCTCTGCTCGCTACGGAACAAAACCAAAACCGCTCTGCTTGTTTGTTTCCTGACTCCCACTCCGAGACGGGCTGGATCTTGTTGCAATTTGGTGAGGAGGCGCTGATTCCTTTCGGCGTACTCCCTCCATCCCTTTCCATCGGTCGTTATCACTTCGAATGTATTTCACTTTGACTAAATATACAAAAAAAATATTAATAATTATATTGCATAATTAATATCCTTAGATAGATAGTTGAGTCCATTTTTATAATAAATTAATTTAGATACAAATGTTGCTAATATTTATAACAAACCTAGTTAAACTTGAGAAAGTTTGATCAATACGTTCTTAGTAGTGATGGATAAAAAGGGGCAGAAAGAATAACGGTGTGTCTGCATTCACACCTTGAGTCACGTGGGCCATCACGACAACTCGAGCAAAGCTCCTAAATCATAGCCTTGTTTTTGATTTGGGTGCTCAACCCCAATTATGTTGGCCTAACTTTATGCTTTCACTCTAGCGGTGGCACCCAAACGAAGCCCCTCAAATTCCTTCATATAGCCACTGACACATGGGATCTGTCGGTAAGTGGGACTCTCCCTCCTGCCTCCCTCCCTCCCTCCTCTCTCTCTCTCTCTCTCTCTCTCTCTCTCTCTCTCTCTCTCTCTCTCTCATCTTTGCGTTCTTTGACCAGACACGAGTACGCGACCCCGACTGCGCGTCCAGAGGAGGGAGCTGCGACCGTGGAGGTGCCATGGATCCGCCTGACACCGAGCCCACCGTCCCTGTTCGCGGATCTAGCCGCCCAACCCCTCTAGTCAGCCACATCCGAGCACCGCAAGAGTAGAGAGAGTTGTGTTGCCGGAGCTCGCTATGACGGAAGCCATGGGAGAGGTAGCCGGAGGATGAGGCCGCGGAGAGATAGCCAGTTGTGGGGAGCGACGAAGTTGCTATCCGTGGTGAGGTTGCTAGCCATGACTGGAGTGCCATGTCAAAGTCTGGTAGATGCAAGCAAGCGCTGCGCGTCTCTGCTTCCGTGCAAGCATGGGGAGGAACCGTTGGATCGTGACTAAAGTTGAGCACCTAGGTTTGTTGTCCCTTGGGAGGATTTGGATGCCCACTCAAATTTGTTGGCCCTATTAGTGGCTCTACTGGACTTGATTTTTTTAGCTGGGCACCTAAATTTTATTAGAGTTGTTAACTCTCTACCAGCCCTGCCCAGAATTTGATATAGCATGAGTAATGAAAATTTAATATACTTTTGCCTTAAAAATTTAATATATACTTGGTAAATTTAGCATATACGTACCTCAACTTATCACAGTGGATATCTTTATTTAAATGGATAATGTGGTAGGAAAAAATTGGACAGGGCTGGAGGGGGGAGGGGTCTTTTGCTATTCCGGGGCAGGATAAGGGCCTGGGGCCCTGGAGGCGCAAAGCTGTCACTGGTACGTGTACGGAGTAGCTTTTGGCGTCTCGTCGTCATAATATAAATAATAAATAAATAAATTAGGGAAAAGCCCATCCGGGCATCCACGGGGCTTGTCGCGGTGTGGCCAGCGCCGGAATAAGGCCTCCCTCGTTATTCCTCCGAGCCCGCAACGCGACGACGGTGCCGCAACAAAACAAAATTCCCCGCTTGTTTGTTTCCTGCCCCGTGCTCTGGTCTCCCTTTATATACAGTATAGATCCGTGTGCTACGGTGCCTGCTTTCCTTTCACACGATTATAGTGCGTGGTGCTACTATCTTTATTTTGTACTAGTTTTTTTTTTTTTTTTGGAAACATTGGTAGTACTCCTAGTACAAGTATGCTAGCTCAAGAACAGCTCAAACAGACAGAGCAGGGGAAGCCTATGAAAAAAAGAAAACGGAAAAGCATGAGAAGTTATAAATGTCAACACAATTTTTTTTCTTAAATTTATTTATTTTTATAAAAAAAATCGACTAAGACAAGCCGCGTGCTCCAGCGAATTGGGCCACATATCGTTTGTTATTCTTGCTTGCAAAATAGTCGGTTAAAAATTATTCCTTACTAGTTTGCTCGAAACCAGTAGTGAGACTTCTACGAAGGTAAAGCGACTTTGTGTGTTGATTTTTGCTGTCAATAATATATCTATTTAAAGTCATACTCCCTCTGTCCCAAAATAGAAGAAGTTCTCGCTTTTCGAGAAATCAACTGTTTTTTTAACTTTGACCAATTATATATAAAAATTATTAATATTTAATTAATATTAATAGATAGATCATTGAATATACTTTCATATAAACTTATTTGGAGATATAAATGTTGCTCGTATTTTTTACAAATCTAGTCAAAGTTGAGAAAGTTTGACCTACACACATCCCATAACGTCTTACTTTCTAAGACGAGGGAGTAAATGTTAATGACATTTTTCTATGGATTTAGTTAAATTTTATTTAAATAATGACCCTGACCATCTAAAATTGTAACAGTTTTGGACAGAGGTAGTACTACTATACAAGGGATATTTTTATCCGGGCATGCTCGCGCTCTGACGTCCGGACACTCACGTCTATAGACTGTTTTCCACGCCGCTTCGCGCGCCCACGCAGGGCCCGTGCCGTACCGAACATCACCTGCATCGAGAAGAGGGGGAGGGACGGCGGATGCCTAGCCGGCAGCCGGAGAGAAGGAAGAGACACCGATGCGAGGTAGCAAAAAGCAACGATGAAGATGCAACATCCGATCTACTTTTAAAACATCCATATACAACACTTGCAACATATGTTTGAAGGCAGATGAAACACTTGAAACATGTATCTGAAACACTTAAAAAACACTAAAAAACACTAAAAACCATTGTAAAATATACGCAACATTCAGATAAAACACTTACAACATATGTGTGAAACATATGCAACATCTAAATAAACACACTTGCAACATATGTCTGAAAAAAAAACAGATAAAATATTGGGAACAGAATCTTGCAACATACATGTACAACTATTGCAACATCCCGATCTACTTGAAACATATGCATGAAAATACTTGTAACATATCTCTGAAACATCTGAAACACTTGAAACATATACTTAAAACATGTGTTTTCACCCTTCTTCCATACGATACACACGCAGAGCGGGGGATGGGCAGACAGAGGGCAGCGCTGTCGTGGCCCCTTCCGGAGGTGAGCGGAGGAGGCGAGGACAGGCCGCCGACGAGCTTTTGCCACTCTGCGGGCTACCGCCGTTGTAGGCGGGCGGAGAGGGAGGTGGGGACAAGCTAGCATTGTCCCCACGCCGCCGCTCTGGCTGAGTGAGGGCCGGGAGAAAGGGGCCGGTCGCAGGTACAGGCGGCTAACGACGAGCTCTGGCTAGGCAGGGATGTGAAGAAGGCATCGGCGGTGCGGACGGTGGCCGGTGGAGGCGCCACGGGAGATGGAGGTGCCGCGGGGAGTGGGACGAGCGTATGGCCACTTGTGGAGATTTTTTTTTTTGAGAGCGCATCCGAATGGGACAGATGTTCGTGACCAAGCATTATCGATTTTTATTTCTTTTGACTGAGAAATATATCACCATCGAGATGGGCAAGCACGGTAACTTGCGTA